ACCCAAATTCATTGATCATCCCGGTCCAGTGCCCGCGCCGATTGCGCTTTCGTTTCCTAGAGAGGTGGATTCATGGCTCACTAAAGCTCCACCAGGAAACGTGCGCGTGGGGCCCAAGGCTTTTGATCTCGACTCACGGTGTTCCAACCACGCAATACCAAGAATAAGGTATAGCCTTGCATCCAAATCAAAGACCAGACAGCGTTTCACGCTATCAAAGTCAAGGAGCTTGACATCGAGGTCCAGAGGGACCTTCGACACAGTAACACAAGTTCTCGTCGCTAAGCAAACAGTGACAGCGTCACTCAACCGCGTTTTCAGCGCCTCAGCATACAGCTGACTTCCTTCGATCGCGAAACGTCGAACATAATTGCCCGACGTACCATAAGCGATAAGGATTTTCCATGGTTTATCAAAGCTATTCACAGTCGCTTTTACTACCAGCAAGCCCGGCTTGCACACGCCCTCCGTGTTAACGAGCACAGAGCTCTACGTGGCTGGGCCCTGCTGCGCTCTACCTCTTTGAGGCTCAGCAAAACTCAGTTCTCCCCCAGTAGGGTGCCCCGCGCCTACTGAGCTCTCTCGCTTCCCTGCGGTCAAAAGATTGGCTAGAAGCAGAGTGTCGGTTCGTCGAATTTTTTATACGCCTTGCGCAAGTATCAACCCATCCGAAGGTGACTGGTGTCTCCACAAACAAAACACCGTCGGGTGCGTACACGCTGCTCAGCAGCTCGGGGCTCGCCCTCCTCATTTTCAACATAGCTGAGATTTATTGGCTCACGCTCACTTGGCGAGCTCTGACGGTGTGCATTCCAACCAAGTCGTGCTGACCCAAAGCTGAATTTGGCATTCAATGCCACATTCACCGCTTCTGCAAAAGAAGACGGATGCACACGGAATACTTCCATTCTGTTCACGCCAGTGCGGAGGCCCTCCATAAAGACGATCGCTGCGACCGCCTCGGGAAGAGGGTCTGCTGCCAACCCGGCAATAAGAGTTCTCAACTCTTGGACAATGTCCACCAACTCTTTCTTGCCCTGGCGGACAACAAGAAAACGCGATCTCACGCGATATGCCTGATTAGGCGGCGAGAACAAAAGCTGATGCTTCAGCTCCTCCCAAGAGAGGATAACAGCTTCAAAAGAAGCACTGCATGTGAGTGCCCATTCTCGCGCTCAGCCCCGAGCTTGGAGATAGCTATCGCCACGCGCCGTTGCTCGTTTTGGAGCATGGTGGATGTCATAGCCATCTCGACCTCTCTTATCCAGAGCAGGGAATTCTATCTATCCTTACCTTCGAAGGTCTCAACGCTCACCATGAGCGGTCTGGGTGGGAAAGAATCATCCGTCGTCGACGGTGACGTCATAGACGCGGTCGACGCTGGCGGCTTCTGCTGTAAGTGGTCTAACAGAGTATTTAAAAAATCTTAAAAACGCCTCTAGGCGCGCGCTTATGGACTCTGTCCCTTGCGCAACGAGGTGCTCCACGCCCTCAGGGCCCAGCAGGGACATCATCTTATTAAGCACGTCCTGCATTCCCTAAGACACACGAGAGTATTCCTTCCATGTGTTCCTCACAGCGGACCGGTGGTAACGACTTAGGCGTAGATTGACTACGAGTGCTACCAAGTACAGCGGGGCTGCTGTAGCTCTTTTCTTAGAGGAAGCTAAGCTAAGACCACCGACCTTGCGTTCTTTCCTAGAAGCAGTACAGGTATAGCGAATCGCATTCCGCTTCTTCTATGTACTAAAACACTTAACCGAGAGAATGAACACTTTTGTTAAAAATCGAAGATGTATTTAATTGTTTTAGTCGCGGCAGAGCCGCCAATATCTAAAATCCTAGTTTTTTTCTAATTATTCTAGTGATACCTAAGTAATGTAGCAAGACCTAATTAATATAGTAACATGCATTATTATTTACTGGCAATCCTGCCACGTGGTGGCTTCTTGTAACGGTGTAGCCACACCACTGTGTTATCACACTAACTGTATAATACACACCTATGTACGGTCGCACAATCTTGTGCGACCCGCCCTTTCTTACAAGGGCACGTGTAATCCCGTTACTACATGGAAGTTGTGCTTCGTATCTGATGTGACATTCATTGCTCCCTCAAAACAGGTGGGGTGGACGGGGGTTGAAACGGAGTTACACGTTTCTTGGTATATAAGGGGTAGGCCACACAAGATGGTGTGGCTACACCTTAACAAGAAGCCACTGTAGCTGGACTGCCAGTAGTTATGCATTTTGATCAGGTTTACTATCTAATTAGGAGAACCTATAGATTTAAAATTCAGGCGGCTTTGCCACAAATCAAAGAAAGATATACATATCATGTTTTGAACGGAAGCGTTCAACTGCCTTGGGTTAAAGTTGTGGTTACTCTTGGAGTAAAAGGATTGCGATCCGTCACACTATTATTTGCTCTAAATGTAGAACGATGGTCACCGATTTTAGCAAGCGAATGCGCTACAGCAGTCCCGCTGCAATCACGGCCCTCGAGGTAATGTGTGACGGGGCACACGGCACCTTGCACAGAGGAAGCTTGACTTTCAAGAGTATACAAACTTTAAGTGAACGGCAGTTCACAGAG